TTGTGAAAGACATTTCTCAAATTTCCTACGTGTAAAATCCTATGTTTTTGACTCATTACATATGGTCTTTCCAATGAGAACCTTTTTATGCATATGACAATAATGTTAATCAAAATTACGCACATGAAATACTTAGAACTTTTCGAGTCTCATCCACTCATTCTAAATCATTGCCGAAACAAATTCAGGAATTAAAAAAGAAATCCTCCCCAGTGGAGTCGCCAAAAACTGTAGGGAATATTTTCAAGCCTTTAAAATCCCACTAGCTTGAACCCCACTGTGATCATACACTAAAGTACGGTGGCGTCCAAAAGGGAAGAAGATAGAGCAAAAGAGTCGCCAACAAGTTTTTAAGGAACTTGTAAACCGTTCACGAGGTGAAGGTTACACCCCTTAACGATCCAAGAGATCGTCAACTCCATAAGGTCATGAACCAAATAAGGGTTCGGGGATGAAGGTACAAATCCAACCTAAAAGAGATTGAACCTGCCCTAATAATAGGCCTCTACTTTATTCTGCTCGTATTCATGTGCGCTTTCTGACTAACATACAATCAATAGGATTAACCCTAAACCTGTTTAATCTATGTTGGTTGAATTTAATGCACAAATAAACTATTATTGGCGATAACTTGAATCTATAATCACAATTAAGCTAACAAGATTATTAATTATCTTATTAAGCGTGATTGCAAATACCAATTCCCTTTAACCTGCAATAAAAAGTGATCAAGAAATAACAATATACAATAATATGCATATCAAGCAACATAATAAATAATCAACATAATCAATCATAAATATTAGAAAGAACATAGGAAGCATCATACTTTTAATCATACTTGATATTAAAAACACTCTAGACATGATACTAGGAATAATAATAACAATCTAAACATGATGTCTACATCATAAAATCAATAAAATCAATAAAGTACTTACTTGGATGCCTCGTACCTCTTTCTAATTACAAAATACACACGTTAGTAACTTCAAGGAAAATAATAAACAAAGCAACTAAATTAAATAATTGAAATAGAAAGATTTGGGACCAAACCCTCAGAAATTAAAACCTTTCACGTCTAGGGCGAAGGCAACTTCGAATATGGCTAGGTGTATCAAGATCTTGTGAATGCGGAATTTTGTATTAAAGAAAAAACAAGAAAGAAAGAATGCTAAAAGATTAATGTTATTGAGAATTGATGAAAGAAAGATGATGAATAAAGAGAATTGGATGAATTAGATGAATGATAAAGAATAAGGAAAATTGGTGAATGTTGGTGATTGTTGATGATTGTTGATTGTAGATTGTAGATTCATAAAAACGGAGTTTTTGATACGATATTTATAAAGAAAATCGGCCAAAAAAGATAATTATCAAAACAGAGTCTGAAGATCACAGAACCACCTTGGCGCCAGCCCTGGCTCATTGGCGCCAGGACCAATGGCTAGCGCCAGGCGCCAATGGCTGGCGTCTGGCGCCAATCCTGGTTCCAGGCGCCAAGGCCTGGGGTTAGACGCCAAACCGGTTTTTAACACGTTTTCGAAAATCTGATAATTTTACCGTACATGAAGATAAAATAATATAATTTCAGTCGAAAATACTATTTGATCTAATTAAAACTCTAAAGAATCCTAATTGAATTAAGAATGATAAGAACCTTCTAGAATGTTCTAGAAGACCAAAACCATTCCTAATTACATTAGGAATGATAAATCATATTAGGCCCTCCCCTAGATCATTGGGCCGTACTTGAAACTCAAACCGGGCCCAGTTCGGTAAATTAGCCATAAATTCCTCAATATTCATCGGAATTGGGCTTATAATATATCGTTGGAAAGGTCTTTGCAAGCCCCATCCAACTACACCACTATTGGACCCATATCATGGACCAATCAAACTGGATTGACTGTTTTCTTAAAATAAAGTTTTCAAAAACAGGAAGAAGAGAAAATAAAAGAAATAAAACTTTCCTCAACACTAGACTTTTCCACACTTTCGTTTCATTCGATTATGATTCGACGTGAAAGGTACTCATCACCGGGTTTGATTTTGGGGAGACACAAATGGGTGTCTACAGAACCCCATACCACTTACAACTAAATTGAGTATTTAGCCATCTAAGCTAACTATCAAACATGATATAATTGTGAAAAAGAAATATATATATATAACTTTAAATTACACGGTTTGATTTTTTTTACAAAAATACACATATTTATCCCCCATTTCGTATTATTTACAAATATATATATATATATATATATTAAAAAAAAGGGAAAAAAAAGAGGAATAGAAGACTACCTTTACTCTTTCTTTTCATTAATGCAAATTTGAAGTGTCTGAGCTTAAATTTGCTTTACTCTTTGTTTTCATTGTTGCAAAATTGAAGAAGAGTAGTAACCATGATCAAGAAGATTGGTTCTTAGTTGAAGGCTTTGGTGGACTTCACTTTTGCCGCCGAAGTCCACCGTACCGACATTAATGTCGCCAATTGTTGGTATGTTTATTCAATAATTACCAATGAAAAATCTATTGAAGGGGAGCGGGGAAGGAAGAACATTTAACTTTATTCCATTTATTTATAAACTTTAAATCATCATCATTAACTTGGCTTATTTTGTCATCCAATGCAATTAAATTTATTTGGAGTGTAACATAAATTGCATGTAATTGGATATTCAAAGGTATAGCATTTAAGATCTGAATTATCATTATAGAGGTAGTATTGGTAATTAACTCTTCAAGGAATTAGAAAAGTTGTATCTTTATTTAGATTGGTGTTTTGAATCTAAGCTCCAATATGCAGCATTTATGTATTTTTTTATACGGGTTTTTCACCAAATGTCCTTGAACTTTTCAAAAATTCACCAAATACTCTCAAGTTTTCAAAAATTCACCAAATACCACTGACGTTTGCTAATTTTCACACCGTGACCTCAAACAACCCCTAACGTTAAAATTCCGTTAGCAATAAAATTAAATTCACCAAATGCCCTAACTTTGTTAAATAATTACACAAAATACCCTTATTTTTGGAAGTACAATGTCTAGTTTGAAATTTAAGGAAACTAGATGTTAGTTTTGATTCTCACCCTTTTTTTTGCATCAATACTCGATACATAGCATCCCTCTTATTTGCCTAACCACAAATTTTTAACACCATGAGTTATCAATCTAATTTTATCCTCCTCAATGTATGAGAGCTTTTGTGAAAGAGTTGCAAACAAATCTTGTTGTAGAAGAAAATTTGCAATAAGAAGTTCTGATTTCGTTAGCCCGCGGACAAGCCCAGACTGTTTATTAGGGTGGGTATAGACTAATTGTCAAGCCGCATAAAAGGGGCTTGAGTTTGCTATTTAAATTTCGCTGGATAAATATGAACTATAGCTCGATTTGTTTTCTGCCCAAGCCTGTAAAAGTAATCACCTTTGTTTCATTTAGCCCTCTTTTTCTCTGTTTGCGAGGTCTCCGGTACTTCTTTTTATGAATAGAGGATGTTTGCAACTCTTACACAAAAGTACTCATACATTGAGGAGGATGATTTAGATTGATAACTCATGGTGTTAAAAATTTGTGGTTATGCAAATGAGAGGGATGCTATGTATCGAGTATTTATGCAAAATAAGGGTGAGAATCAAAACTAACGACTAGTTTCCTTAAATTTCAAACTAGACGTTGTATTTTCCAAAAATAAGGGTATTTTGTGTAATTATTTAACAAAGTTAGGGCATTTGGTGAATTAAATTTTATTGCTAACGGAACTTTAACATCAATGGTATTTTAAGGTCACGGTGTGAATATTAACAAACGTCAGTGGTATTTGGTAAATTTTGAAAAACTTGAGGGAATTTGGTGAATTTTTGAAAAGTTCAAGGCGTTTGGTGATGAAAAGACCGTTATATATATATATATATATATATATATATATATATATATATATATATATATATATATATATATATATATATATATATATATATATATATATATATATATATATATATATATATATGTCGTCAAGCAACTAGGTAACTCATTAATAACCCTTTAGTTTTGCTATTTTTCCTTGAGAAGGTTAATTATTATTCAGATTAATTAATTTTCCCTAAAATTAAAATGCAATTGTTTTGTTTTAATTTGTTTTGGTTTTTGATGAAACAAAAATGCATTTGTTATTGACATCTTTGTTTGAATGCAATTTAAATATATTTTTTTGGGTATGTTGTGATGCAGGTTTGCACTAATTGGAAGACAGATTTGAGCAAATAGCCAAATAGCAACTATTCAAGGTAACAATGATGTGTATATCCATTTTGTGCTTTTTGTCAAGTTTTCTCAAGCAGAATAGCAATTACAATTTCACATGCAATTTGGCAAGCAATTTATTAACTAAAATAAGAAATTGAGTCTTTGAGAATAGGGGTGTCAATTCGGATGATCGGATCGGGTCTAATATGGTTGGGTCGGGTCGGGTAAATTTTTAAAGTTAAGCCACACTAAATTGTTATGTCCACGCGAGTCCAAATCTGAATCGGATATTTTTCGAATCGGGTCGGGTTGGGTGTGCTTTTGACACCTCTATTTGAGAATAGAGGTAGCAAAAAATGAATTTTTTTGGCATTACATGCTCTGAATAGTGGATTTCACAATCTCAATTATAAATGTACAAAGGCAAACAGAGTAAGGCCTCTAAGGCTATAACTTAAAATCTTTGAGCATAAGCAAATAGTTTAATCAACCCTCCGAATGTGTTTGTAGAATAAATGATTCATGATACAAAGTAATGTCTTTTTCTGTCTTTGTAAAACTGAACAATTGCTAAAGAGTATATAGTCCAAAATTTGAAGTTGTGAATGATTTATGAGTTGCCTCATCAGACTCATGAGTCATGACTTATAAATGAACAGTAGTAGTATAAGTTTGTGATTTCACTTATATATGAAAACTTTAGTATTATAAAAATTACTTTAGTACAAGGAGATGAAATAAAATTTGGGATGTTTGTGTATGGCTCACCTCACGTTGCTAATCGTTTAGAGGTTTGGCATTTAATTAGTAGTCTCTTGGAGATTTATCCGAATATTGTGATTATTGGAGATTTTAATCAGGTGGAGTTTTATTCGGATAAGTTGGTAGGTAATTTTGCTATACCGGGCCAATTAGACTTTATTAATTGGCGTATGGGGTTAAACCTTGTGGATGTTCCCTTTTCAGGACCAAAGTATACTTGGACGAATAATAGACTGGATTCGGATCCTATTTTTGAGCGTCTAGATAAAGCTTATGGGTCTTCCACTTGGTTTGCAAATTACCCAGATACTCACTTAGTTCACCAACCCATTTTATTCTCGGATCATGCGGCTATAATTTTGTCAGATTCGATTGATCCTGACCACTTTAAACAGCCGTATAGAGTAGAGAACTGGTGTTTATCTGCAGTAGAAGTGCAGGGTATCATTACTTCTGTTTTCTCCTTGTTCTTTCCTGGATCCCCTATGTTTTCTCTGTCTCGTAAACTCTCTGTTTCTCGAGACCGTCTGTTAGCCTAGTGTATTACTCATAAGAAAGCTTGGGGTATCAACTGGAAACAATTGGTTTTTGACGTTCATCAAGCCTCTCAGTCTCTTTGTTCTCGGGCAGATCGATGTTTGTTCATTACAGTTAGAAATGAGAAGGTTGCTGAGGCTCAAGCAGCCTACTTATTTTGGCAACAACGTGCTAAGCTTAAATGGGATGCTTTAGGAGATTCACATTCCCGCTTGTTTTTTTCCGTGGTTCAATCTCGAAAGCGGAAGAACAGGATTTCGGGTCTTAGGGATTCTTCAGGGGTTTGGCAGCGCGATGGAGCACAGGTCGCAGCGATGATTCAGGAATTTTATAAAGATCTTTATTCTGTTACAGTTCAGCCTTCTGACCATGATCATGAATGGTGGGATAGTTTGCAGTTGCCCTCTTTGTCTTCTGATCATCAGAATATCCTAATGCGGCCTTTCACTCCAGAAGAAATTCGGGTTGCTATTTTTAGTATTGATGATTCCAAGTCTCCCGGTCCAGATGGCTTCTCATCTGCTTTTTTCAAAAAGTCGTGGGATACGGTGGGAAATTCGGTGGTTGCTGATGTTCAACACTTCTTTGCTCATGGTTATTTGTTGAAACACTGGAATCGGACTTTTTTGGTTCTTCTTCCAAAGGTGGATAATCCGGAAGGAATTTCTCAATATCGCCCGATTGGTATGAAATGTGATTTATAAATGTGTAGCAAAGTTTCTCATAGGTCGTCTCCGCCAGATTCTTCCAAGCCTGGTGGCTGATGGTCAGAATGCTTTTGTTCCTGGTCGTCTTCTTTCAGATAATGCTCTTATTGCTCATGAGGTTATGACCTACATTAACAAGACTAAGGCACGAAAGAAGTTTTTTGTAGCCATCAAATTGGACATGAATAAAGCTTATGACAGGGTGAATTGGGATTTTCTTTTTCGTTTGCTTCAGGCTTACGACTTTCCTCCTTATTGGATTCATATTATTCGTCAGTGTGTGTCTACGGTTTCTTATCAAGTCTTGGTAAATGGTGATCCTCTTCCGGCTTTTCAGCCTCAGTGCGGTCTTCGGCAAGGCGATCCTCTTTCCTCTTTTTTGTTTTTTTTATGTATGGAAGTTTTGTCTGCTATGATTCGTAAGGCAGAGCGAGCCTCTTTGTTTAAGGGAATCCAAATCTCTTAAACGCCTCCTTCGATTTCTCATCTTTTCTTTGCCGATGACTCCTTATTGTTCTTATAGATTAATCCAGGCGCCTGTGACCATCTTTTGGCTCTGCTATCAGATTTCTGTCCTTTGTCTGGTCAGGTTATTAATCTTCAGAAATCTTATGTGAAATTTAGCCCTAATACTCCGATGGATTATCGCGACTTTCTTGCTCATAGCCTGAGGCTTCATTGTAAGCCTGCCTTGGGGTCTTATTTAGAGTTGCCTGTGGATTTAGGTCGGAGCAAAATTTCCGATTTTGGTTTTTTAGTTGACAAAGTGGTTCAAAGGCTCTTGAGTTTTGCGTCCCTGGGCTTGTCTTCGGCTGCAAAGTTGGTTATAATTAACTCGATTATGGTTGCTTCCTTCAATCATGTTCTTTCGGTTTTCAAGGTCCCTTCTTTGATCTGCGCCAAGGTGGATAATTTACTGGCTCGCTTCTGGTGGAGATCGAATTCTCAGTCTCGGGGTCTATTGTGCGTTCAAAATCACTTCTGCATCTTCCTAGAGGTTTAGGAGGTCTCGGTATTCGTCAGTTGGGTTCTTTCAATTTTGTGCTTTTGGCTCGTCAGTGTTGGCGAATTCATCACAATCCTCAGCTTTTAGTGTCTAGACTTCTTTTTTCGAGGTACCCGGACCTTTGTTCTTTCCAGACTAGAACGATTCCTGGTTCCTCTTGGGGTTGCCGTGGTTTGCTGCAGGGTCAAGCAGTTTTATCTAAGGGTATCGCCTGGAAGGTTGGCTCCGGTTCTCATGTCCGTATTATTGAGGACTCCTGGGTTCCTGGGGAACCTCTTTTTTTCGGAATGATGGTGAGATGCCTTTGCCATCTCATGTTTCTTCTATTATTAATCTGCGGTCTTACGCGTGGAATACAACTCTTATTCATCGACTCTTCCGTTCCTCTGATGTAAACCGTATTTTAGCTTTGGAACGTCCTCAAAGTCTGATGGATGATTTTGTCTACTAGAATTTCACTAGGGATGGAACTTTCTCTACCAAGTCTGCCTATGCAATGTTACTTAGTCAGCATTTTGGCTCTTATGGCTTGCCTTCCTTTCCATTACCTTGGTGGAAAGTGTTCTGGAACTTGCCTCTTTTACCGAAGTTACAGTGTTTTGGGTGGAAACTTCTTCACAAATCCCTTCCTCTTTATGAGGTTCTTCAAGCACGAGGTATCCCAGTCGATTCCACTTGTGTATTTTGCTTCGAACAACGGGAAACTTTTGATCATCTGTTTCGGGATTGTCCGTTTGTTTCTTATCTCTGGTCTACGACTCCTGATTTTCAGTCTCTAGTTGTTCATCGGGATATGTCTTTTGCTGAATGGTTAGTTGAACACGTGTTATTACTGCGGAGAGTAAAGCCTGGGATTTGTTGATAAAACTGATCTCTTTTGTTTGGGCAATTTGGATAGCCCGTAATCATAAGATTTTTCGACATGCTATGATTTCCCATGCTTTTGTCCTTCACATTATGCAGGATTGGATTTCCAGGGGGCTTGCGGTTCAGGATTTTAAGGCTTTTAGGCAAATTTCTACTACTGGTACTTATTCTAATCAAAGGCCTTCTTGGTTGCCTTTGTGTCTTCAAGGTTCCTCGGATGCTATTTATGAGATTTGTTTGGTTGTTGATGGAGCGTATGATGCTCATGATAATTCCGCGGGAGCAGGTTGGGTTTTTCGTGCTGCGGGTTCTGATACTGTTATAGGGGGTGGGACAAGAGCTTTCCTTTCCTCCTCTGCTCTCCACTCAGAGGTTCAGGCTCTTCACTAGGCCCTTAAGGCTGGTGTCGTCGAGGTTTCGGAAGTTTGCTAATTTACACAGATTGCTCGACCTTGTTGTCTCTGGTTCGTAACGATGAATGTCATGACATTTCTTGCTTCTGGCTCATTCGGGATATTAGGGACATCATTTTCAGTTTTTCTGCTTGTGCAATCCGGAAAGTTCCTCGTCAGTGGGTTGCCCCTGCCCATTGGTTGGTTGTTCAGAGTCGTCGTCGTCAGTGTTTGTTATGGTCTTTTAAAGGTTTTTGTGTTTTGTTTTTGTTTGTTTTTTTGTAGCTCGTCTTGTCAAAAACAAAATTACATTTAAGATAAGGTGGTTGATGTGTTTTGGATCAAATAGATCATGATTTATGGAGTATATCTCAGCATTCTTTCACTTAGTTTTGGACATATCAGGATACTTACAAAGTTATACTCTCTATAATGTTTCTAATAATAAAATTTACTCGCTCCTTTGGTAATGTTTAAACTTATATTAATTTTAAACCCAAAGTTAGCAATAGAATGTGTAAAATAGGATTTATCAAATTAAGACATCCTGAATTTTGATAATTATTTTACCCGTGTTAAATTTAGTGTCACATATTAACTTAATTTATCTACTTTTCCTTTCATGTATTGATGCAGATTTGATTTGAGTCCTCTGAAGGCTACAATTTCTCAGTGCTGGGGTAATTGCTTATCTTTTGACTCCTGATGTGTCTATTTTATATAGTATTTTACCCCCGTCCCTAGGTCGTAATTAGTAGTGTTTTTGGCCCTTTAGAGCCACTTTTATTACTAATTGGTGTTTTCTAGTGTTTTCGTAGATTTGGTTGACTTTTACAGGGATTTATGCTTTTGGAGTATTTTTCCGAGATATTTTGGAGCAATCAAGAGCATTGGAGAAACACGACCAGATTTTATAGACCAGGGCCGGTTAGAGCCATCGAACCGGTGATTAAGGGCTCGGTATAGGTGATACCGGGGCATTTAAACCGAGTATTCAAGACCGGAAGAGGAAACCCAGATTGGCCCGAAGAATTGGAGCCCAATCGTAGTCCAAATAGTGGCCCAAGTGAGCCACCCGGCCAAAGAGGCTGGCGCCCGGAGGCGCGCCCGGCCGGGCGGGAGAAGCTAAGGCTGGTGCCCGTTGACGCGCCTGGCCGGGCGCGAGATTAGTACATCGAGCAAAAAGACGCGCCCGATCGGGCGGTGCCTCGCCCGATCGGGCGCGTGTATTTATTAGGATACGATTAGCGTCGTTTTAGTTTGTCTTAATTTAGGATTTGTACGGAGTATAAATACTCCTCGGTAATACGTTTTTAGCTCTCTTCTTCTCTCTCTCTTTCCTTTTACTCTTTCTTTACTCTCTTAATTGTTCTCTTAGATTCTCTCCCTCTTAAACCTTTGTTTTTAATCCATTCTTAATTCCAGATTTGTTTGGTAACTATTTCTCTTCTCTTAATCTTAGTTATTTATTCTATTCCTTTAATCATGTCTCCTTTAATTGCTTTGTTTATTTTATATTTAATTATGTTTGAGTAGATCTATTTCTAGGGTTTGTGGGGATCCATAACTAATATGAAGGGGTAATTTATTGTTGTTGATTGTCAATGCTAGTTTAATTTCCTATTGATTGATTTAATGCTCTATGACTAGATTTGCGCAGATCTTTTATACATGAGTTTAACAATATTGATTCGAGATTCGACAGATGAGAATTGATGTTTAGGTCTAGTTTCAATAGGCAGGTTAATTTATAAATGGTTAAGTCGAGATTCAAAAGATGAGATTTAATACCGGTAAATTAATTGTGTGATTATAATACGTAGTGTAGACACCTAAAAATGTCGTCTCCCCAAAACCAAACCCGATGTTGAACAACCTTTCACCGTCATTATTGGTTGGGTTGTGTATTTAATCTTGGAGTGCTTAAATCCATATTTTCATTTCATAAAACCAACCCAAATCGTATCCCATTTCCCCAAACCATAACTTATTTTCCTCTTTTCGTGCCTTTAAACCCAAAATAATTCATTTCGTGTCCTTTTTATAAAAACGTTTATTCCAGTTTATTTTGGTCCATAATCTGGGTCCAATGATTGAATAGTTGGATAGGGCTTTAAAAGAGCTTTCCAACGATATATTATAAGCCCAAATCCAAGTTATAACGAATAAGTTATGGCCAAAATACACATATTCTTAGGTGCGCACTCATACACCTAGAAATAGGTGTAACAACAACACTATATGAACATTAGCTTTCTTCTCCTCCGTTTTTCTCCTTCGTTTTTTATTTTCTCTCACCTCTGTTTTTTTAATTTTCTCCCTTTTTTTACACTTTTTTGATTGAATTTGTTTCTTACAACAGAAAGTAGTTATTAAGTGTGAATTTCGATTTTGTGCTTTAATTTTGATTGATTAAGGTTTATATGAATCTTTGAATTCACAAATTATACTCTGTTTTTTCTCCTTCCTTCTTTAATTCCTTTTTCCTTTGTTTTTTTTCCCCCTATTTTTCTCATTTTTTTCGATTTAACGATTGAATTTGTTCCTTACAATATATGGACTTGGTTGTTAATCTGATTTTTTGGATTCATATGAATTGAATTTTTTTTAGCTTCGATCAATTTCATCTGTGTATGAGTTTCATCTGATTTTCTGCATTTTTTAATCAATGAACATAATCATGCAAAATATGAAAAGTTCCCTTAAATGTGAACATTCGATTTTCAAAAGGTGAACATAGGCATAAAAAAAATATGAACATATGCATTTTAGAAAGTAAATATAACAATTAAAAATATGAACACGTAAGCATTGGTTTCCTTAAATTGAATATAACCATTTAAAAGGTGAACATATGTGTAAAAAATATGAACATATGCATTTAAGAAAGAGAACATATGCATAAACAGACTTAATGAGAATATTTATGAACAAATATTTACTGTGAATATTTATATTATGAACATATAAAATATTATTATGAACATAAGGCATTTAATTATGAACATAAAAAATTGAAGAAATAAAAAATAATATGATTATGAAACATATGCATCATAAGTATTAAAAATATGAACATATGCATTAAAAATATGAACATATGCACTGGTTCATTTTTGAATGCGTATGAACATAATTAAGCATTTCAAAAGGTGAACACATACGTAAAAAATATGAACATATGGATTTAGAAAGTGAATATATGCATTTTAGAAAGATTACAAAAGGATTCAAAATATAAACATAAGAATTCAAAATATGAACATATGCATATATGAAAGTGAACATAAGGTATCCGTTTGATTTCACTATTTTTTTCGACAATTCCGATAAAAAATTTCGAACAATAGAGTATCGAACAATATTTAAACAAAATTAAGTGATAATCATATAAATTCAAACAAAATTAAGTGAAATTTACATAAAATTGTCTTTTTTAGGGAGGATCCTTTTGATTTTGCATCTCTTCTCTAATGTCCATTGATGTTTTTGCAGTTTTTAGTGACGAAAAATGAAATAGAGAATAGAGAAAGTGAAAAAGAGGAGAGAGAAAATCATATAGAAGAAGAGTTTTTGAGTTTGGAAGTAACGTTACATTTATTGGGTGTGGGTGGGTGTATTGCAATATCCGTATTTTTTAGTTTTAGGGCCTTTTTTAATTGCATTGTGTGTAATTGGGCTTTTGGGCTGCGTTGTTACACCTATATAAGGTGTACAAGGGTGCACCTTAGACTAATTGGCCAAAATATTAAATTGAGCCCAAACAAAACCTAAGCCCACCTTACCTACGACCCAATGATCATGTGGAGGGTCCAAATTATTTAATCCCATTCCTAAACCAATTAGGATTAATTGGAAGCTTCTATGAGTTTCTAAAATATCTTAATTATCCGTTTTGAAAAGATAAGATTAAAGAGTTTGAAATTGAATAAAACTCCTTTTTTTGAAAGTCCTATTTCTATCCGAATTGAAATACGTTCAAAGATAGACAGATATTATTTTCGTAACTCATATTTTTTATCCAAATTTTATATGGTTGGATAGCCCTTGAAATTATATTTCCAATGATATATTATAATATCAATTCCGAGTTATAACGGAAAAGATATGAATAAAATGTCAAACTCTATCCAAAACTGACACTGTCTCACTATTTCGGCCATATCTTTTATTCTATAAAATATTTTAATCTGATTTTAATTGGGTTAGAAAGTAGACTTCAAGAGATTTCCAACGATATCTTATTCATCTTATTCCAATTTTTGGATCAAAAAATATGATAAAAACAAAAACCGCAAAACTGTTGTCTATCGCAAGAGTTTTATCTGATTCGAATTCTTATCTTTTCTTGATTCTTCGACCCTATTTTTTCTCTATAAATAGAGTTCATATCACCCCTTTTTCAATCATCAACAATATTTATCACAAGTTTATTCTGTTCTCCCTCTTTAGCCTAAACACTAGCCTCCCTATTCTTCCAAAATACTTCCCTTAAGCACTCCAAGGAGTTCATATTTTAACCTAAAGTTCTATACTTAAACCAAAGGCGTGAAAGGTATAAATAACTGAGGGTTTGGACCAAATTAAATCTACATTTATTTAATTTAATTGTTTCAATTTGATTTATTTTTATTGAAGTTACTAACAGTTTATTCATGATGTAGCAATTCAAGGAAACGCGGAAAGTGAGTAATTGATTCACTTAATTACTCTTATTTTTATTCTTGTTGCTAGTATCATGATTAGGGTTATTATTATTATTTGATTTGACTAAAATTATTATTGTTGAATTGCTTCCAATATTAATGTTTATTCTATTATTATTATGATCACCATATTGCATGTTAAGGGGAATATGTAATTGAAAATCGCGCCTAATAATATAATTTGGACAACCGGTTTAGGTTCCTTTTTAATCTTGTTATTAATTAAAGCGATCACAATATTTTAGAATTATATGTTGCATTAATATTCAACCAATTTAGCATGATAATAGTT